AACATACAGTTGCTTTCCGTTAGGATCAGTATTGTATGTTGTTCTGTCATTATTTTTCACTTTATATTAGACTACACTAGATTTGTTTTCTATATCACAAGTAAATAAGGAGGTTTTCAATCACTAAAGACTGAAAATATTTAGTATATTACAGTAAGATTTAGCTAGGTGGGGATAGAAGTAGGACAGAAATCACTAAATGGATTAGTGCAATTAATAAATCACAAAGGCTGTGATTTATTATACACAAAATGCGCCAACCATCTTCCCAAACTTGTAATGAGAAGCTCTTATAAACTGTTGTCAGCAGAAGAGCAGCTTTAAGTAACTTCAATTTTCCAGTGGCTTAACATTTGAAAATGAAGAAATTAAGACAGTATTGTAATTTTACAGTTGTAGAATAAATTACTTTTATATTAGATGACTTAAATATTTATTTTACAATTAAAGGATTATTTCCTGTTTTGTAATATTTTATTTAGTAATAATTAAAATAATGACAACTATACTACAATGATTATTATTATTATTATTATTATACGACAAACAATCACAGCAAACCTAGAAATACAAATACAATAAATAAATAAATAATCCCCCCCCCCACCAAATTATGCAGCCCTAGATAGAGGGCAAGTACAAAATAAAAATTTTTTTAGATACACAAATATGAATTTAGTAAATCTTGCCCTATAATTCTCGAAAGGCTGTGATGATTTTTTTTTATATTTCATATGAGGTGTAGGTCTTTAGATATAATTTCCACATGTGAACAGCTCACTTATATTATATATATATATATATATATATATATAATCTACATTAAATACTACATTAAATGACAGTGGTGATTCACTAAAATGCAGTGTCATTATGTTAATGGGGATATTAAAATGTAAACTGCTCTAAAGGTCACTGAATAATTAGCACAATGCATGGGTGTGTGTTTACACAGTGGTTAATAAATATGGGAATGTGCTAAGGTAATTGTAATAAGTTGTGTCAGCGTGTGCTGCTCCACAGGGCAGTGTTCAGTTCGGAGGGGTGCTTGAGGAAACTGCAGGTGTGAACTGAGGGAGGTGGAAACTAATAAAGTGCAGCCCCTGTTAGCAAAACCACTCTTATTACTCTTACTGGCCTGACTGCTTACACAGCAAAAAACATGTACACTGTGCAAGTGATTGATTGGGTGAAATATTCACTCATGCAAAATGCCATCAGAAAAGAACCAGTCTGGCTGCAAGTAGCTCAGGTTTCTGAAAATGTCTTTAAATGTCTTAACTTTCTGACATTTTTCATATGTGTATGTGAGTTGCACATCATAGAAGACAGTGGGCACATGCACACTTCAGCTAAATTCATTGTCAGTTCACCTTTTAGTGCTTAATCCTATTCTGTACACACAGTTCAGTCATTTAAGGGAGTGACAAGCGCATTCTGCAACCGAACAGACTCCCGAAAAATTCAGATAACGACAACTACATTTACAGATATTGTATGCAGTGTATGGAACTGAAGTGAACAGCTAGTAGTTAATGATGCATTTAAACACGTGTCAGAGTTTTGCCTTTTCTATACGTGCAGTTCAAGAAATCACAGGATACACTTTGACTTTAGCGACATTAGC